TATGTCTTACATTTGCGTCTACTTTTTCCTACTGTATCGAAAACTGTACACTGTACACGACATCGGATACTGGACCGGATGCCATCTATTTGTTCTTTATCACTTAACTGTAATAAAGAAATAATCATGTGACCTCTAGGTGATGAAATGAGTGAGACGTAATTAGGTTTAAATGTTATTAATAACAATCAAGCTTGTAAACATGTTGGCATTTCTACAGGTTATAAATGTTGCTTGCTAGGTTATCTGAAGGTTCAGGATTTAATACCGTATTAGGTTGAGATACATTTGCGGAATTTCAAAGGCTCTACGTGACGCCAAACAGAACTACATTGGTTTTGGTGTTCCATTCATTCAACATTATTTCATCCTATTCTAAAAATGATACATTGTTCATCTCATTCACATTATAGACTACACTGATTTTGCCTCATGGGACTTTAGTCAGCGGTATGCATCTTCATAATGACTACAGATATAAAATGGAGTTTTACGTCTAACCTTTCTCTTCCTTTCGGGACCAATCATGGCGGGGGAAACACCATGCAGTGTGGGGGTCCTTAGCTTACTCTTGAAACAGATCTTTTAAAAGGGTAGATTCGCCATTTAAGGGGATAAATTATGGTCTTGAATATAGGAAAATAGTCCTCAGAATATTCCAGAGGAACTTCACTTTCTATTTCTATATATAATATTATGTATTTTCTATATTATAGAATCTCAAGAAAAGACGTACCGTCATCTTAACTTTCAAGTATGGACACAAATGGATTTGAGGTCTCTTATTTCGACAGTTAGCTGTAAACACTAAAAGTGCCGTTCTGAGACTACGATTGATAAACACAAATTGGGAAACATAATAGTCTGTAATAGTCTTCTGTCTTCAGCGAGGATGTAGTCTAGGACTTGCAGTTGTATTACGTGTGATGACGTTTTCAATCTTTCTAAAAAAAATATCATTAAGCATATTTCGATCAACCAGTAAACAAAAAGGCTATCCCCACGAGTTCTTTTAGTTGTATTTGATATTTTGATATTGTGAAATTTATCACACCTTTGAACAAATATCCTTAGCCATGATTATTGAAATATGAGCTCTACTTATAGTAAATGTTAACCCGCTTGCAGCGGATATGGATTTTCAACCAACGACCTTACTTTTGATGATGGATATCGCCGTAAAGTGTGGATTGAAGAACATTTTACCGAGAAATAGATTAGCCTATTAGATGATAAGATGTCAAATGTGCGGGTCCCAGAAAACTAGACGTATCACTTTTAGTACAATGCTTATGTTTCATTTTGTATTTCAGCCACACGATCAAACCAGTATAAAGAAGAACAAAAATGGCGAGACACCCTCTTTGTTAAGAGCGTTACAAGGTTTTGTTTGCCGTGTCACTGTTTAAAAGGTCAATGGCGGCCAAATATTTTCACTAGCTCTTCTACTAGTGGTTAATTTATCTATCGTGACTAATTGGACTTGATGTAACAATAGCTATAATACTACTTGATTATATAGGCAAATAATAAAATTAAACAGTACACCTACAATATCTCGTCTCGGAATATTTATCTTATTAACGTTAAGTATTCTAAACGGAATACGAAGATATAAATCCTCATAGTTTTGTACTACAAAATTTTTTCTCAATCAAGATTGTGAAATTCTGGGAAATTCCGAAACCATATCGATTTAATTTAACAGTGCAAGACTCAGTCGACAATCCCCGTGTTGTGATTGGTCCCTGAGTCAAGATGGCGGATGAAGTGTTTTGAGTCAGTTACAATCACCCCCTTCTAGTTCACAACTTTTCCTTTTCCTTCGAGTTTAAATCACTCACTAATAAGAACTATTGTTATATTCCCATCTGAAATGTTTTGTCGATAAACTTTACAAATTCGTTACGATTCATTTGAATCACTTAACGTCCATTACACACGTGGCAGACGATCGAGCTGTTCATTGTGCATGCGCATTAAATATTCCGACGTCACGACTGAGATATTGTTATGTCGACATTAGAGACTCTCGGCATAATTAGACTCTAATCTGATTTGGGAAGGTTTTCACACAACGTGCGAGGACAAACCCGATTCCATCATTTAAAACTCGTTACGTTCCATTTTTTTCTATTTTTTATAACTTATGATATCTTCTGGGATATTTGTAATGCCGAGCTTTCATTCCTTTCAACCAAAATCTTCCACAGGTGCAAAAAACTATCGAAAATTTAGGGCTTATTGTTTTCATATTTTTTTCATTAAATCGTATTTTATCGTCTATTTTCATGATCAACCGAAAACTCGTAAGGGATGTTATTTATCTGTATAGAATAAATCCCGTCCGAGGGCTGTTTTGATTATTTCACATTCACATTTCTCGAGGGAAAGGGTTTTAAATATTATACAAACCCGAGGGAAGGTGTTTTTTCTGACTGACCTGTAAAGATTCATTTGCTGGAGTTTTTATTGAAAAAACAATAAATACTAATGAAATAAGGGGCGTAACTCCTCCCCTCAATACTTAGTTAGTTCATCAACCAATGGGCAAGATTACCTCTTTGTTAGACTTTTGTGAGAAATTTTCGAGACAACGGACAAGGATCCATTAAACTTACTGTAATTTGCAATATAAAACGTAGGAGAAAACTTTCAGTGTCCACTTGAAGCGTAGGATTTTAAATCCCAACCGTCCAAATTAGTATTTATCGGGGAATAACATTTTTTTTTATAAATGGAACGGAAACTGCAGAGAACTGGTGATTAGCAACACGACTGGGATTAAAATAGTGAAATAAGGACATTTTCTGAGTCATCAGATTACCTTTTTTGTACATAATAAAAAAAAACAACCATCTTATACGAAGCTATTTAGATAAAGTGAATCATGGTCCAATGTTTTTATGATTTGGCGTGATTTAAACTTCGATATGGGATACATACCCCCCACTAGGCTCTTACGCTTACGATATGGAAATATAACCACTCAAGGCCATTGGTATTGAAAATACGGAAACAGTTTTACATGACACCCGATTCCACAAAAGTTGTCATTTGATATAGCTATTATCTCAAACAAAACATGACAATTTCATTTTACAGTTCGTCTGTTGTTTAAAGCACGTGGAAATCCAATACACCATTTTTAAATCTAGTTTAAAAACCAGGATTAAAACCATCAATGTTTTTAATACACTAATAACATGTACGCTCAGGCAGTATCGGGTGCTAATCCTGGTCTTAGAGATACATTTTGTCATAAATAGTGCCATATAAGTCATTCTGAATAAAATGTCAATAGCAAAGTGAACCGATAAAATCAAACGAGAGCTGAAAATGGGAGATGGTCCATTTAAATGCAGATTAAAATGAAGTATCTGATAATTTTCGGGGCATATCTTGCAATATTTAAGTCATAGTCGTGATTTTTAAATTAAGTTAATTAATGGAGAAAATATTTGAAAATGAGACTAAATTTATTGAGAGCAAATAGTTTGGTATCATAAAACTAATTTTTTAAAATCTGTTACATACTTTCTTTGAAGGAATCGAATTGTTGACAACAATTCTTCCTATCAAATTAGTTTAATACGTAAGTCTTTTAAATGAGCATATGCAGTGAATTCCAGTCATTGTAATTCTTGAGCATCGAAATTCAAAAAAAGAAAGTAGAAATTTAACACAGTCGTGCAAATTTGAATCCATTTTGTTAACACTTTGTTAACTACGTATGTCATTCTAAAGTGCATGTGCAAAATATATAGTCTTGGTAATAGTTATTAGAAATTTTGATTCATTAACATCATTAAAATCCAAAAGAAAAGTAGCAGTGGACATTTAACAGAGTCGTGCCAGTTGTATTCTATTTCGTTGTACGGAACCCACTGTAAAGTTAAAATATTGGTCTAGCTGTAGTAACTCGACACTGCTAATAAATAGAACCCACACAAATCGAACTTTTATTTAAATAGTACTTATTTAATAACCCTGGATAGATCAACATACCAAAATGGCCGTATCTTACATAATAATTGATTATGTTCGTCCAGACCATAAAATCCAATGATACACAAATACGCTACTAAACATTGTGTCCAACTAGCATGCAGTTTGTACATGGTCACCTTCAAATTGTCAAGCTAAAACGAACTTCGTCTTCAAAAGCCACATTTCTTGTTTCACAGTTGATTGGATTGCAAGTTAGCGAATACATTGGTATTAGTTCGTATAATTTCGTATCACATTGTGAATGACCCATAGAATAAAGATCAAAAGAAATATACAATTTTATGAAAGTTTAGATGTGAATATCACAGTGAGAATATATATGTCGCTTTCTCGCTCACTTCAGTGACTTCGTGTACTTTGCACATATGACTAGAGTCATATGTCCACCTTTTCAGCCTTGTGTCCTCAACAACCATCATACTTTTTCGAAACCGAAATTTTCATACAATCTACAATTATTATCGTTTCGTGACTTGAACCATTTCCAGTAGGCGAGGGTAAATTTCGTAGCCGAAGACCTAAAAATGTGAAAAATTTTCTAATCTGGAAACAAATCCCCACTTGAACATTTGAAATCCTTAAAAGTGACTCAATTGTCTAGTCATAGCGACAGGCCAATAAAACATATCTTGTTCAGAAGGGTATATAAGTGTAATTGTAATGGTTTTGTAGCATTCTTGCTTCCAAGTCCAAACGAAACCTTTGTGCCATTGTCAAAAAAGTTTGACGATTACAGCAAATTTCTAGAAATGATTTTCAACAGGCTTTTAGCTCTTTTATTGATCACTGGAATCCTGAGTGTAACAAATATCACTTCACTGCCTCTGTCAGGTGAGTTCTTTTTTTTATTATCATTCTTTCAATTAACCAGCAGAGAATCTTCACAATGTTGCGTGTCGTTCATTGTCGTGTAGGTCGGATCTGGTTTGGTTTGTACTGTGTCCCAAGTCGTTTGGGGGTCCTATTTTGTGCGTTGTGTTGCGCCTAGGATGGAGTGTCCACTGGGTCGTGTCTGCGAGTTGTACTGTCTTGTGTTGTGTCGGGTGTGGTTGGGGTATGGTGAGTGATGTGTCTTCGAATTCCTTGAACAAAATGATAGTCTATTCCGATGAGCTTCTTACGTATATACGTATAGGTAGGGTTAGTATGATATGAGAAGAGTAAATATGGTCCTGGTTTTTATAATAGTCACAAATTTTGCTCGTCGGCGCTATTGAAGATGTCAACAAATTGATGAAAACTCTTGCTAATTCCATCAATATATACTTTTATTGGCCAAGTTTGATACGTAAAACTTTATGCTCATAATAAGAGGTAGATTCTGTTTTGTAGAACTGCGGTCCGATTGTCCCGAAGAATGGTTGAAGTACCACAACGAATGTTACCATCCGCTACCAGAGTTTCTGAAGATCTATTCTCCTGAGGCTAAAGAACGTTTCTGTCGAGTTGTACTATCAGCTGATATTGGATACGTCAATGGCGTCCTGTCCTGTCTGCATGGTACGTTAACAGTCATGTTTTTTGACACATCACCTTGAAATATATTTCCAATTGTCCGAAATACGAGAATGAGCTGAAAATTTGACTTGGTGTGCCGTTCGTTCATAGGAGCATGGTAATAACGTTTTACCACCTCTTGTTCTTAAAATGCTGGACTTTTTTCAAACGGTTGTAATAAAAATAACGGACTATTACGTCTATTTCAGATTTTAAAGGTACCAGCAATGTTTTGGTCAAGATACTAGACAACAGTGTTAACAAACGAGGTATGTTAATAAGCGCGATGGTGCTCAATTGTACAGCGCAGTCGATGTTTAAAGTGAGACTACGTCTTAGAATGAACATAAAATTTAAGTTCTCAAGAATGGTCAATAGTATATGAGTATATATTCATCAGTGAACTTATCTGGTGTCATAAAGTATCAGAATCCCCGTAAAATCTGGAAAATTGGAAAATTCATAAAACTAATTCATAATTATAGAGGTTATTGCATATTTATGGATAATCACAAGTTTTTTTGATTTATCGGATTATATAAGGATCCTGTTATGTTATTTATGACACCAGGTATATCTACTGGCTCTTATTGGCCAAGTTTAAAATTCTTACATATTATGTTCATTCTAAGACGTAGTATTCCTTTAAGATCTACCCTGAATTTATTCATATTGTTTGACAGTCTTTATTGTTTTTGCCTACTTGTGTGAAAAGATCTATTTTTAGAATATCATGTGACGTGATTCTCCTGCATTTACTATTTAGAATTAAGGTATCTACGACGGAACATCATGATCTTGCATAGTTATACTGTTTCTGTTGGTAGTGGTAGTGATGCAAATCGGAGAGGCACGACACATGCCCATGAGGTTACAAGATAGACATTCTAACCCCAGTTAAACATGTTAAATTAAAATGCATCATTATCCTGGTATAATTTCCCTAATTGAACACTACATGTAGCTGCTCGTCTACTTATTTATTTCCATGTCTTTCTGGTATATTAAAGCATTTGGTAACGAGGGATGGTCCAGGAATGGTAAATAAAGTTTATGAATCATCAACATTTTCTCCATCGTCGACAACAACCCACTTCTACCCGTCACTTGACTCTTATAAAAATAATAAAAAAAATTGAGTATTGAATTGTGTTGTTATTTTTGTTTTTAATATTTGCCTTCCACTTTAGCCACCTCTCAGCTGTCTACATCACTTTTCAAAAATCAAAATATTGACATTTTCGAGAAGGGAGAGCTGAAAGCCTGGAAACTTTCTGCATTATTGTCTGAAATTTTTCATGTTCAGTATCTTTGTTGATTCTACAAAGCCTAGTTTCACGAGTTTCACACTGGGTGCATGCTCAAGTCTCAGAAAAGCCCAATGCTAATTTGGATTTTTGAAAGCAAGATCCAGTTCATCTAAACTAGCTGTAATTTATTCTGGAATGTCCAGAAGGGCGTTACACATATTTCACTGTTAGTTTGGGTCATGAAGACTGACAGTACCGTGTGTAATGAGGGACATTTCCTTGGAAAGAGGTATGAGGTTTCTATTTGTCGTTTGCCAATAGTCGAGAAATCTTTAAAATGCGCAACCTGTATTACATAGCATGTTTTATACGAACGTTGAGAAGAATTTTCCATGCCGACAGTATTACAAATCTTGAAAACACTTCTTTTAGATATTATCGTGTCGGACATATATCAATTTGAATGTTTATGCAAATGCAATCAATGTTTCTTTATTTAATTCAAGACATTTACAACCAAAAGTAAATTATTTTCACTTTGATTGCAGTCAAACATAAAAGTCTAAAGAAGTTAAAACATTATAGACACGTCAATCGAACGCCTTCGTGAAACAATCTGTATAAGCAATATGGTATCGAACGCCTCCATAAAACAATCAGACGACTGCTGTATAAAGAAGGCGCGAAAGTTGATAGACAATAGTGCTTCATTCGATTGGCAGAGACGAGAAGTAAACATAAGCACTCGGAAATTGGAAACAGCAACCGAAGACGAACGGAGCAACTTTTCCAAAACGATTTGTTCAAGTGGAACGTTTTCCGTAAGACCAACGGTGTGCTCGGAACGGAACAGTGTGCCATAAAAAAAACTCTGCCAGAGTGAAGTCAAGTGTCCAAAACATTTTTTCACAAGAAGATTATAGTATGGATTTACAGCAATTTATTGCAGTAATGTTTTTTTCATCCATAATTTTTCTTCGATTGGTAACATCACAGAATTCTCTATCAGGTAACAATTTTGATATTTTTCCTTTTCTACGCTGAACAAGTTGTATTTATGCATTCAGAAGATGAAAGAAAATGAGTTTTACGTTCTACTTTTCTAGACTTTACGTTAACTGCCATACAGTTGTTCTTATTTAAGAAGTTTAACGTCCCATTTTCAATTTTAACAACGGGGAAATGATAGAAAACGACAGCATTATTATCATTAATATCATTATTATCAGCTGAACAGTTATTCTAATTTACATAAACATCAATTTGTAAAAGTTTTGCCCAATAAGAGGTTAATGGTGTTTTCCTTTCTATGACTGAAAGTTGTAGAAAATTGCATTAATAACTTAGCTTTGATAGTAGATCAATTGTTTAAACCTTTTCCTGAAACTTTGACGGTTGTTCATAAAATTTCAACCATCATATTCGGAATGAATATTTGTTAATCAGAACAAATACATTGAGTGAAATATTGTACAGATGTATTAGAGTAAGGATTAACCCATGTAGCAATAGGTTACTGTCATAGGTTACCTAAGGATATAATAAGTAAATAAGCGTAAAAGTTATCCTAAAGGTTTTAACATTTTCTTCCGCCAAGGTTTTACAAGGATTGAAACATTAAACAACCGCCAAGGTTTTACAAGGATTGAAACATTAAACAACCGCCAAGGTTTTACAAGGATTGAAACATTAAACAACCGTTATGGTTTTACAAGGATTGAAACATTAAACAACCGCCAAGGTTTTACAAAGATTGAAACATTAAACAACCGCCAAGGTTTTACAAGGATTGAAACATTAAACAACCGCCAAGGTTTTACAAGGATTGAAACATTAAACAACCGCCAAGGTTTTACAAGGACTGAAACATTAAACAACCGCCAAGGTTTTACAAGGATTGAAACTTTAAACAACCGCCAAGGTTTTACAAGGATTGAAACATTAAACAACCGCCAAGGTTTTACAAGGATTGAAACATTAAACAACCGCCAAGGTTTTACAAGGATTGAAACATTAAACAACCGCCAAGGTTTTACAAGGATTGAAACATTAAACAACCGCCAAAGTTTTATAAGGATTGAAACATTAAACAACCGTTATGGTTTTACAAGGATTGAAACATTAAACAACCGTTAACGTTGTACAAGATTTAAACATCTGAACAACCGTCAATGTTTTATAAAGATTTAAACATCTGAACAACCGTCAATGTTTTACAAAGATTTAAACATCTGAGCAACCGTCAATGTTTTACAAAGATTTAAACATCTGAACAACCGTCAATGTTTCACAAAGATTTAAACATCTGAACAACCGTCAATGTTTCACAAAGATTTAAACATCTGAACAACCGTCAATGTTTTACAAAGATTTAAACATCTGAACAACCGTCAATGTTTTACAAAGATTTAAACATCTAAAAAATCGTCGATTTCGACAACAGTCTCGGTCCTTACTAAGATTCAAATATTCAAACAACCGTAAAACTATACAGACAGTTTTAACTCTGAAAACAGCTTCTATATATATATATTTATATTTATTAAAAGTAAAGAAATTCATAGTTTACTTTTCAAAGATTTACAAGTCAACATTCACGGAAGTTAGATATACGATTTGAATACTACATGTTCTGTCTGCACGTTATCACGAATGTAATAATAGTCTAAAATATCGACCGATTTTCCCTAAATCTTGTTGGTAAGCACAAGCAATTTAATCTGGATTTAAAAGAGGATTTAAAGAAATAGAATGGGCATTAAATAAAGTTTCCTTTCTGTGTAAATGATGTAGGTAACTGCATCTTATAATGATGAACGTTTAAGAATACATTGGTCGAACTGTAAAACTTTCAAGAAGGCTTAGTCCAGAAAATACAGTTGATGATGTTGCAAAATACAGAATTGATCTTGGGAGAGCGAAAGTTTGAATGTTGATTTTTAGATTAGTATAAGGTAGCATACTATATTTTTTATTTTTAGAAAGATATATTTTTGTTAATATGGAAATATGACAAGTTTGACATTGACTTTATGAATATTTTTTACTGCAAATCCCCTCGATAAATAAAGGGCATTCCGCTTTTTTTGTAGGTCGAAAAAAAACATTTTGCTCAAATTTGTGAAAAATATACACTAAAATCTAGAGTTTACGTAAACGTTTTAAGCTTGTTATGCTTTCTGGAAGCTGTTAAAAAACTTCTGTATGGAGTTAAGTAAAATATACTCGTAAGTGTAGAGAAATATGTTTTCAACTAATAATATCAAGTCACTATAAAGATAAACACCAAAATAAGGTAAAACTACTTAATTAACAATTAATACTCTCCGTTTTTAACTAACCTATTTAAAACAAATTCAGTTAAATCAAAGTAGAAACAAAGATATAAATAGCATAAATATTTTCAGGTATAGTTTATGACGTATTTTATAATGAAAATTTTGCTAACTGCCCCTTTCAATTGAGCGCTTTTATAAAATATCTACTGCACAGTAACAATTTGATATGACACAAGAAATTCAAAATAAAACGTTTCAAACCAAACATTTTTTTCTACCTGAACTTGCTTTGACACGTCCAGTTGAAAAACACGAAAACATATGCAATATTTTGAAGAACGTTGTGCTTACCGAACTCAAGGTAGTTGTTGCCGTGTAACATTTGGTACAATAACATCTTATTAACATGTTACTGTTTTGAATCAGCCTCCAGAAATTCAGCCTTGGGTCATCCTCATTATGAAATTAAGAATAAAATGTCTAATGGGTTTTGACCTATTCTAGAGCAACCTTGACATCGGTGACATTATAGTTTTTCATTCTTTATGATTTTTAATTAGTCTGTTTTGACTGCGCATAAACGTGGGCGTGAGAATTGCATCTTGAAGTGTATGCGATTAACTACGTCTTTTCACTTACAAGCACGTAAGAAATAGAATGTGACTCCTTAGACATGCTTAAAATAACGATTATCATTCAAAAATACATATCTGTGAGTGGGTCTATTAATGACTTACAAAGAAGGCAAACAAAGTAGACGCGATTAACCGGGCATTTGAAGACAATTTAGAAGGATTCGAAAGTAGATGTGATTTTTGAAAACTGGATGTGGATCATTTGGTAATTTTGATAAAGGAAAAAAATGCACATTTTGATAACCGGATGACACCATTTGCCATCCATGATCTGTTGAAATTTTTATGTATCTATTGTTTTGGGTCATTTCACATTTACCCTATCAAATGATACTCTACTATCTTGTGGGAAAAATAATCTTCTTTTTTTTATATTCACATAACATATGATAAGTTTTGATGATAGTTAGACTCAATTCCACATGGCGCGATATATAGAAAGAATTTTGTAAGATCATGGATTAAAGGTGTAGAAATAACCATCAGAAAAACAATGAAAGGAAACATCCAGACTTATACGTTAAAATCAGATTGCACCTAGGTTTTTTTGGACATATCTTTTTCTGTATTTTTGTAAAATTTCAGTGAAGGGATGGCTTGGGTTGAAATACAACCAGAAATATTCAGAAATAGTTACTTATTCGCGCGAATTGGCTACTGAAATCGACATAGTATTTATGTAATGAACGGGTATTCTGAAGAATTCATATGAAAAAAAAACTGGTGTTTTACCATAAT